GTAAATAACAACAATAGTGAACACAGTCAAAAATAACATATTTTAAAAACCAAGTGCACATCAACTACAAACAAGATGAATGTTTACTTAGAAATATCATAAAGAAATATACACTACCCCCAATTGACCTGAACCAAAAAAAAAAAAAAAATCAAATTAATTATCTATTACAAAATATTTAAAACAGCTAACCTTATCCTCAAAAATAACAACACACTAGCAAAAAATAAAATTACAATGAACAAACATTATCTATGAGTTCAAATGTGCCTTAATCCTGATCAAACTGAATTCATAAATAATTTTTTTGGTCACATAACTACTTGCCTATCCAGATGCCTTACGTTACACTTATCTGACCACAGCTCTATTAGAATCCATTTAAACACACACACACACAGAACAAACTCCATCCGAAAAAACTAGCAGAAAATGCAAATATCATAACCTCATCCACAGGTAAAAAAAAAGATTAAAAATAAAGGCCTTAATAATAAAAAAGAAAAAGCCAATACTTAATAATAATATTAACTTAATAATGTTCAATATAAAATAATAACACTAAAAACATAAACCTATACACCCAATTAAACTGAAAACAAAAGAAAGTAAAATAAAATAAAATCATCCTTGATAATGGCTGAAAGTATAACCGAAATTGCTCAGAATTATAGAACATTTGGACAGTTTCTACACACTGTCCAAAAAGGAAAACACTTGTTTGAACACAAGAAAAATTAAATAAAAAGCTTAATTGTAGGACCTTGTCTGTCATCTTTAATGAAACATATATTTTATTCTTTTTAATCTTCCATCAATAATTTTCTTTTAATTTATTCCTTTTACAAGAAAAAAAACAAGAAAGGGGGAATAAAAAAGACAAAAACTGTGGCAATTAAAATACCAAAAAAAAACAAAAAAACAAAACATGTTCAGTATAGCACTCCATTTAGAGCAGCAAGAAATTTGTTTAATTTTGTCCTGCCAATAAATTTAGTAAACAAATTGGCAACATTTTCTTCTTTTGGAATATAGTCCAATTTTATTATACCTTTTTGAATTTCAGTCCTTATGAAGTGGTACTTTGTCTATGTGTTTTGAACGTTGATGGTAGACTGAGTTCTTAGCTAAAGCAATAGTACCTTGATTATCGCAATAGATTGTGGCTTGGTCTTCAGTTGCATTAATTATGGGGGCTAATAATTTAATGAATTTTGCTTCTTGTATGGCAGCCACCAATGCCGTGTACTCTGCTTCGCAGGTTGATAATGCAACTGTAGGTTGCTTTCTTGTTTTCCACAAAATCATTGAACTGTTTGGTGTTAATTGGAAACTGTATTCTGTAATGCTACGGTGATCTTTTGAATTTCCTCAATCAGCATCACAAAAATCTCTTAAAGTTAGGGGCTTATTTGACTTATTAAACACTAAACAATGTGTTTTTGTCTCTTTCAAATAGCGCAAGACTTGTTTGGCTCTTGTCAAGTGATCCATGGTCAGATTTGCATAATATTTTGACAGTTTTGTTACCACATAACTAATATCAAGACGAGTGGCTGTCAACATACATAAAACTGCCAACTATCTCTCAGTAGTATTTTATTTCCACTGGTTCAACATTCCTCTCATCCATTAGATTGATATCAATTTCACAAAGCATTGATCAAGGTTTACAATCAGGCATTTTAAATTTGGTTAGAATATTTTGTTTGATACAATTGCTTGTAAACTTAAAATGTATTCCAAGAAAGAAAGAAAGCTTTCCAAGATCAATCATTCTGAACTTTTCACTTAAACATGTTTTCACATTATTTAATGTGGAATTGCAACTGGCACCAATTAGTATATCATTCTTGATTGTGGAGTTTCGCTTTCTTTTGTGCCCTCCCAACAAGAACTTTTTGGCCAATAGTTGTCAAGTATTGCATCATTTTCTTCAACTGGAATAAAACAATCATCCAATTTAGACTCTTCAAATTTTTCAGTAAATTTTATAAACCCGACTCTCTTGACATTCCTCATCTCAGGTATATATTAAAGAGGTAGGACTAGATTTATTGTAGCCTATGAAAATTGTTTTTCACTTTCAGTGTCCAATTTCTTTCTATCTTTTATGTAGGCATAACAAATTGTGGCAAATATAGGCATATTGGTAAGGTTAGGTTTGCAACCCATGAACATTTTGAAGGCAGTTTTTTTTTTTTTGTTCTTCGAGTGTAGCACTGATTTCTAATATAGGAAGCAGTCATAATAGCATATGACCATAAAACACCAACATCTTTCAGCCATATCATTTTGATATGGACATTATGGAGCAGATTTCTCAAGTTTAATTTTATTGTTAAGTAAAGGATTTTCAAAGTTTTTAGGAGTAAATTCCGTGCTGTTATCACTTCTTAAGCATTTTACAGGGCCATATGGGGCGATGTCAGCCAGATATTTCTTTGTGACAGCATATGTGTCGCTTTTTTTGTTTCAGAAAATATATCACATTTAGACCAAAATAGTTGTCCATGAAACAAAGTGTATACTTAAAGCCATTTAAAGATCTTGGCTCAATTGGGTCAGTGAGATCACAATAAACAAGGCCTAATATTTTAGTTGCCCTTTTATCGGGTAACTTGTTTTTTATACTGTACCATTTTGCTTTGGATACAGATTTCAGAGTTTGTATCTGATTTATCGACAATTTTCATGCCTTCCACAACTTCAATGTCTTTCAGATTGCAATGTCCAAGATTTTGATGCCATTGTTTTAGGCTGCACATAGCAATTTTGGAGGTTACTGTATGACTGTCCATTTCTTTTTATGTTGAATTTAACACCATTAGAGCAGATAAGTTCCGAGTAATTTCAGCCAAGTTTCACAGAAGCTTCTTTTTTAGTAGCAGCCTGTACTGAGAATATATTTTGTCTGAATGTAGGAATGTATAAAGCATTTGTTAAAATGCAGTCACACATATTTCCGTCTGCATCAGTTATAGTGATTTGAGCATTACAACTTTTTAAAGCAATATTATTGGTTCAACTACCATCTGCCAGTTTGATATGATGATTTTGTGGATTAAAATCATTATCGAAAGTAAGAAATTTAGATTCATCAGTAATCACATGCATGGTAGCACCAGAATTGACAAGTAAACCATTTTTGTTGGCAACTGTGTCTAGTCCAACTGAAAACAAAAATGATCATTATCTGAAACATGTTCCATATTTTTTATGGAATGAGCTTGCTTTTTGTTTCTGTATTGGGTACTCTTATGACACATAATATTTTTGTTTGGTGGATTGGAATTATAGCATTTTAAGGGGAAGGTATTCACCGGATATTTGCGCAATTTATTCCAGCAGTCAGGACTATTATGCCCAAGTTTACCGCAAGTGAAACAGGTTGGTGGTTTGAATTTAAGCATTCAGAGTGACATTACAGTATTCTCACTATTATTATCATGAATCATTTTTTCAGTTTCTTCAAAGCTACTTTAAATTCACTTTAGTAGCTTGTCTGAGTGATAACAATCGTAAATGGCTTGAAATCAGATGAAAAGCCTTAAAAGGCCATGGTTATTAATAAACCATCACCAATAATTTCCCCAGAAGTCTTTAATAAAGTGGTCGGTTTTTCAGCTAAAATAATATAATTCATAATAGTTTCAATGCTAACTTTGTGTAGGGATGTTAATTCTGTATACAGGGAAATTATTTTTGACTTTCCTTTCAATAAATATTGCTCTCTCAAAATTTGCAGTGCTTTTCTCCCATCATCAGGGGCTTCTCTCATAATAAGAGATAAACTTTGATTATCGAGAAATTGAATTAATTTGGCAAACGCGTTTGCATTCTTTTCATGGTTGTCTTTGTCCTTGGGATGATCAAAAGGAGCAAAAATTATTTTGCGTAATTTTTGGATCCGCATATAACCCAAAAACTTTACTTCCCATAGCTCATATTTCGATTCATCACCATTAAAACAGAGCCTATTCCTGGGCCTGTAACCTTATAAACAGTGTTAAAGTGCAAGATAAATAACACAATCAGAATTAATAAAGTTTGCAATGAAAAGAAAAACAATCAAAAAGATGAAACAGCAACAATCATGCAAAGAAACAAACAATATACTTCAAGCAAATCAAAATTGGTAAGGCAAAAGAATTCACAAACTAGGAGTTAGTGTTTGTACACAAAAGCAAGGTCAATCAAGCAAACACATTATGTCTGTCTAGTAGTTAAGGCCTATCTGGATTGAGTCATGTCAAAACACAAGCCATCCCATTTTATTAGCTAAGAAAAAGCATGCATTCTTTTCTGTGTCCTTGACTATAAGAAGGGGTGAGTAAAAACTTTTGTGATTATTCTTTTTTGGGAAATCAACAATCTTTTTTTTAAGTTGATATGTGATGATAAAAAGAAAACAGAAAAAAAACTGAAATTACTTGTTTAAACATTTTTTTAATCTACTGTTAGGTATAAAGATGTACAAAATGTGACATTAAAATAGTTTAAATCAAATCAAATTAAAAATTTCTTACAAAACAGATTGTTATACTCTTTTGAAACATTGTATTTATCGCATTTTTTTTTTCAAGTGTTCTGCACTTGGTGCTTCCCCACTGTTTACCAAACTGTTTAATTCAAAACACCAGTAAAATATATCAATCTGTGCTTACTTGTAATTTAATTCATATTCAAGATACTAATAAACAGCAAATTTGAAGGACTGCTATTTCAGTTCATTTTTTAGTAATACAAAATTTAAAGGAGAAACTCCTGTAAATGACTTTATTTTAGGAGAATAAAAAAAAAAAACAATGCCTGAAATGTTGAGATGAAGACAATATTTCAACAAACACAAGCTGTTTTTATACATCTAGCAAAACCAAGCATTTAATCCTATAGTTTTATCCTTCATTCTTTTCCAACAATTTTTTTTTCAGTAAAAGAAAACAAAATGAAAATACTAAGTTAAAGTAAACTTATGACACCTGAGCCTTCCTACTTACCATTTATCACATTTTGGCTTGCCAGGTACATGATTGTTGTTAATCCCATGCTGAAAATCACATTCTGACCCCAATTCAATGCTGCTAAACTTGTCGTAGTCTTTAAAGATGCTTTCTCATATTTTCCTAACAAAATATCATACTTTTCAGCTTCAAATTTCTCATTATTGAAATACTGAAAAAAAAAAAATCTTTATGTCAATCTTAATTCTAAGAGGGAGATCTGAAAGCAGTGACAGTTCGTGTATAGGAACTGCACCACCCCCTATTTTTATTCAATATTATTGATAACATTCAATATAATGAGTCTTTTTTTTTCTTTAATTTTTCCTTTATACTTGTACATTATATAATCCTTAAAGTTAATGTCAGTAACCATCCTCTCGTTCATGAAAAATTTTAAAAACCCTTGTAAGGAACCGTGCTTCACAGTTCCAATAATGTGGTGTTTGGCTGTTGTGTGCATGTCCAAGGAAAGAAGCTGAATACTGGTTAAAAGAGAGCACTGCCACTTGTACTGTTGTCAGAGTGTAAGGTAGTGTTTATTTTTGATTCAGTGTTTGTTGTGCTTAAAAACCATTTACCATATTCTTGAATGTGATAAACTGTAGATGACTATCATGCTTCCAGCTATTCTATTCATTGGATTTTTTTGGTTGTTTTATTGTATAGAAAATATTAATAATTTAATCATAACCTCCTTGAATACCTAAGAAATAAGTTCTGTGACAGTAAGTAAACTTCAACAGCTTATGTTTTCACAGCTGTCTGTCCATGAGAAAGTTACAGTTAAGAAAAGAGGCCATTCAACACCTAATATTCAAATATCTCAGACAGGAATAAGAAACAATAAAAGGTATATTCATAGCTTTAATTCTGAATGGTACCAATGGAAAAGTTGGCTCTGCAGTTGTAAAATGAAAAATGCATTGTTTGCTTCCTGTGTTTGCTGTTTGGAGGTGATGTAAGGTGGACAGAAGACAGATTTAGAAATATAAACAAAATAAAAGAAAAAACTGAAAAACATGTAGTTTCACTGTCACTTTTAGGAAACGTAAATATTAAGGAGAAACTTAGTGAGGCATAGACTTCAATCAATAAGCATAAGGAGGAGGTTAAAAAGAACCAAGACACTTTATCCAAACTCATACACTATTTATTTTGTGGAAACTTTAAAACTCCATTACATGGACATAATGAAAAAGATGGAGTATGTAGAGAATTAATAAATTTTGCATCTAAATTAAATCCAGATTTGAAAAATTAGTTAGAAACCAGTACAGTTTTTAAAGGTGTTTGTAAGATCATTCAGAATGTGATACTTGACTGCCTGTTACAAATATACCATGAAAATATAAGGACAGAAATTAGAGAAGATTCGTTTGTGGCCATCATAGCTGATGACACAACAAATATTTCAGAACACACTCAAAATGGTCATTGTTCTACGGTACGTGTTGAATGAAGAAATATTTGAGTGTTTTTTGGGGATTCTCTATTCCTGAAAATCCAACTGCAGATGACATATCAAAACATTCTAAAACAATTAGGCACAATCCTTCAAGGAAATGGATAAAAACTGAGAGCTCAGACATTTGGTGAATGTCATGAAAGGCAAAAAAGCGGTTTATAGTAGTGTACATTTCATTCACAGTTATGCATATCAATTTAATAATGAGAAATGCAGCAAGTACTACATGGAATGCAAGAATATTTTTCTCTAATATTTTGGTTATTCGAACATTCTTCTCAAGTTTACCACAACATGTATCCATTCTCAATATGGATGTCAGCATTCCATGTGAAGAGAGGTCATGAAAATTTGGAACCTTTAAAAAGCTGCCTTACTGAAATTCAAATCAAATTCAGAAGTAACATAAATTTTACAATACCTGAATGATGATAATTTTATGCTTTGGTTAGAGCTTTTTTATCAAATTATACCTCATGTTGAAGTAATTTACAACCAAATACAATCTCAAGAAATTAGTGTATTTAAAGTCAATAAATATATAACAGATTTAAAAACTGCTATTTTAGAAATAAGAAACTCAAAGTACTGTGAGAATTCTTCAAAGACACTCATGGCAGAAGTAAAGGAAGTGTATAATATAATGGACATCCTTCCACTAAAGACTTAGTAGATGTTAAATAGTTCAATAAGAAAAACTTCACTAGTTTTAAGGATTAAGTGCCAACAGAAGAGTTAGTACTGATCACTGAAGTATATCCCATGATTGACAAAGAAAAGCTTGAAACTGAACTAAAGTATTCTATATTAGATCCAATATACATGATTATTGCCAAATAATTGAACTGCTGAAATTTATCTTGGAAAATAATCTAGATGAAGTTCTTAGTGAAATTATGAATCTGATAATAATCCTCTTGACAATTCCTATGACTACATCAGAGTTAGAACACTGCTTTTCAACACTGAAAAGAATAAAAAAAATTTCTAAGGAGCACTATGAATCCTGAAAGACTAAATGCACTTGCAGTGCTTTCAATGGTGAAAAAGTTCCTCAACAGTCATTCAGGGATCAAAGAGAAAATTATTAACCTTTAGCTCAAAGTAAAACAAGAAGAATGGATTTCATTTTTTGAACTGTAACAATTTATAAGTAAGTAAAAAATATTTTTTGTTTAGGATTTTATCAAGTTTATTTATAAATTTTCTTTTATGTATTTGTTTCGTTTTACACAATATTAAAACAATGACGAAAAATTTTCTGAATCAGCACCCCCATTAATTTTAGTTATGAGCTGCCACTGAAAGATATAAAATTCATAACAATTCTCAAAATTCCTTACTTTTACTGTTTCATAATTAATCAAAGAGTCCACTGCTTTTGTACCAGCCTCATTATCAGCTTTGTTCATCATCACTCTAAATTTTGTTCTGAAAAGTAACAAAATTTAATCAATCCAAAACAGGAATTCATTGAAGAATAAGATTAATAGTGTAAATCAAAACAATGTTAGATTACACTGGTCTGCAAGATGTAAGCAAAAAAAAAAAAAAAAAAAAAAAAAAAAAGGTAATTTTGGGGCATTGGTAATAAAAATGATATCCAAAATTGTTGATTTCAAGATATGGTATTAGTGTTATATGAATATTTTGTCAAAATTCTTGTCCTTGCCAGGTTATTCTTTTAATAACCTTTATATATACAAGGTGTATCTGACTTTGGGCATTAAAATCAATTTTGTACATTTCACAAATTTTATTTCAAAATACTTCCCTTGGGAGTTTGCACACTTCTCCCAGCAGTTCTGCCACTGTTGGTAACACTTCTGGAATGCTATGGAGCTCCATCATCACTTTTGTCATAATATCCACACAGGACTGAAATCACTTCTTTTCCACATGGTTTTCAGATTGGGGAAGAGCCAGAAGTCACAGTGCCAAGTCAGGAGAGTAGGTCAAATAAGTGGTGTTCTTGATGAGGAAAGGTAATTTTTTTGATTGTCACAAGGATCTACTCCCATTCTTCCTCATGGAAAATGATATAATGTACTGCACTGATATCAGTGGTCTTATGCAATCACTTAACATCAGTTACAATCCAGAGGATTGGAGGCTGATAATTCATTCCTTGAGAACAAGTCACAAAGTTGTTTTGTTACACAATGGTAATGTTTTACCTTCAATCCCAGTTTGTCATGCAGTCTAGGTAAAATGATCTTATGACAATATAAAACAACCACTGGGATGTATTAACTATGGTTAATATAACTGGCATCTTTGCAGATATTTGAAAGTTGTTGCTCTCTTGCTAAGACTGCAAGGTGGATACACTAAATACTGTTGTTTTCTTTATGAATAGGACAGAAGTTCACATTACATCAACTGGCCACTATGACAATCACTAGAATCTGAGAGGGAAAATGTTCAGCACCCACCACTGGTGGAGTCAAAGAAAATTTTGTTGCTACCTCTTCACATCAAAGTTGGTCTAATGAAAAATTTTGTGAAGACTATGGACAAAACAAAGGTAGCATTTAAGTATGTGCAAAATAAATTTCACAGAATAAGTGAAGGAAAGATAAAAAAGGCATCTTTGTTGGTCCCTAAATTTGTAAATTTCATTTGGATAAGAATTTTGACACAAGGAAAGAAAAAAACTGCATGGAAAACTATCAAGTCAGTGGCAACCAACATTCTGTGTAATTAAAGAGCAAAAATAACAGAAAACTGGTGGAAAACCTCCTGAAGGCATACAAACATCTTGGCCGTAACATGTTGTTGAAGATCCACTTCTTAGACTAGGAACTTGATTTTTTCCCCAAAAAACTTTTGGCACTGTGAGTGACAAGCATGGGGAACAATTTTATCAAGACATTGCAGGAATGGAGAAAAGGTATCAGGAGAGGTGGAGTTCATAAATAACGGCTGATTATTGTTGGACTGAGACCAGAAATGATCCTTTTGCAGTTTACAAAAGACAAAGTAAGAAGCGACATGTGGTTGCTGAATAACTGCACATGTATATACTTCTAAAGAGAGTTTTCTGGTTGAATTTTATTCAATAAACACATATATTGCCATCTTGATGTGTTTGTGTAGTGCTCTGGTAGCCTACATAGAACAGAACATCAAAGCAGATTTTGCAAAGCAACATTGTTTTTCTTGGAGACAACCATTGTACTCATGTGTATGACATAACTGACTAAATATCTCTAAATCACCTAATTTGAAGGTCATTTTCGAAATTCATCAAACCAAAATACATAAGAACTGGCATATTTAATTTCTGAAGTAGTTAACTTGGGAAAAACTGTAGACCAGTGATTTAAATAATTTGTGACATCCACAAGCAAGAATATGTGTTAATGTCCACTCATTTCACAACACACAATCATCAATAAATTGTTAGTTATACAAGAAAAAAAGATTCCCAATTCAGGAAAAATGTCCAAATTTATTTTCTTATTCTTAATTTTAACACAATTTAAATTTTATACAAGACAACTGTTAGATTTATTTTGTATACCATATCAATTTTCTGGCACACTTGTGGTTTCAAAAACTTTGCTCGACCAACTGATATCAAATAAGTGACTATATGTTCATCATTTCTTCACTTATCAGAAGTCAGACATCAATATGCTTTATACTCCAACTGGAACTGAATAAAAATATATTGCTCAGACAAAACTCAAGATAAAGCAGACAGAAGTTAAAATTCATTATCTTAACAATATAAAAAAATATCTTGTTTAATTTTATCTGGTATAAAAGTTAAGGAAATTTAGGACTTACCTCCATTGTGTTATGAGCAGAGTGAAAATAGCATATGAACCAATGCAACCCAAAGTGACCAGAGCAAATTCTCCTCCACACTTATGATACTAAAACATAAATTAAATATGTACACAATTACTCAACATTATTCATATTGTTTAGAAAATTTAATTTGCTATGAAGAACAATACTAAAAATTGTTTTAAAAAAAAAAAAAAAAAGGGTTTGCATAATCCACTAAAGAAAACCAATAACAATTGCTCAATTATTTTTTTAAAAAATCCTCTAATTTGTTAATATCTACTAATCAAAAATAGTTAACTAGAAATCCAACAACACCTTAATTACTGATAAATTTAATCTATGAAACTTAAATTCTACTAGTTATACTTATTCCTAGTCTCAAAACTACAGATACTAATTGCATTGTAAACATCTTGGACACAGTACTTACCAATACTGTACTGACCAAAGTAACTTCAAAGATGGTAGGAACAACATTAAAGACTAAAGCACTGAGTGTAAAATTGATGCCTCTGAAAACAAAGTGAAAATATATTATAAATTTAGCAAATGAGGATAATTTCTTAAAGAAAAAAACAAAAATGATATAACAAAAATATTCAATGTATAAACTGAACTTAAGAGACATGGCTAGTTTTTAATTTTTTTATTATCATTACTTTGTAAAGATTATGATATTCAATGCCAGTCAATTGCTAGACTGGATTACTCCCTATGGAGTTTTAGGTCACCTGGATTACTTCCCTTTTTGTATTATTATTATTATTATTATTACTACTACAGTGAGTGACACCTTATGTCGGACTGTTCATTCTGTTAATGAAGTGTTTTTGTGTCGTAAAGGTTGTTGAATTTTGTATTTGTCTGGAGCAAGAATTTACTACATTGGATTTAACCAAAGTAAAATAGAATTGGCCACCAAAGTTTATTGAATATAACTTGTTAGAAGTTTCAAAAGAAATACACAGCAGAAATCAACTATATAACATTTTTAACATTATAAAAATCGATACTTTGTTTAGTTTATGCTACTATGTTAAAAGAGAGGATCATTATAAATAATAATTTATTAGTAAAGAGAATTTTTATTGTACTTATTCAAACAAACAGAAAAAGATTTGCTTGGAATAAAGCTGAAGCTTATTGGGAATAATCTTTCAGATAAGATAGATTTTTTTTTTTTTTCTTAATATGATCAGTGAAATTTGAAAAATATTCTTCACATGATTATCATATCTACTACAACACTAAATGAGTTTAGCAACATGTTTGGTGGAAACACCTTTAGAAAAGGAAAGAAAGATTATGACAATTTTTTTCCAAATGAGCATTCTACAAACTGCTTAGTCTTTATGTGAAGAGATTTTCATAAAATAAACACTTTTCAAGTTGGAGAATAATTTAACCAATATGTTTGGAGAAGAAAGAAAAAAGATCTAATTATTTTATAAAATAAGTAAATTGTACAAACCTCGTTCCTCGATCAATAGCTTTTGAAAGAGCACCAGTTTGCCGTCCCAGATGAAAGCTAAGGTCAAGGTTATGCAAATGTAGAAAAACATTGCGAGCAACCTGTCGGATGGAACTATGAGATACTTTAGCAAAGACAGCATTTCGTAATTCATTGAATCCACTAGCACCAGCTCGAGCCATTCCATCTGCAAAATAAATAGATAAAAATTAACTTGAAGACGGTTCCCACACACAACACACAATATTTGAAAACAAAGTTTGCATTCATTTCTAACACTGCTTAGAATATATAAAAAATAATATTGTGGTCTATGAAGTGTTAACCACTGTGAGTACAAGTTGAACTAAGTTTTCACAAGGGGTAGTTGTTTGACCAATAGAAAAAGTTTTTTGTTTTTTTAAATAAAAAAAAAAATATATCAAAGTAGTAAATTGATGTCTATTAGAACCTATTAAAAGACCAAGGTGATTTTGTTGATTTGAATCAACCCACAACAAAGAAAAAGGCAAAAGAGGTGTTTAAATATAAAAATATAAGATATTTATTTTCATGTTTTTATATTAATTTTCAAAGCATTAACCAGAAGAATGTGTGAATCCTCCAACTCAGAAACCATTTTTATGTCATTTGGTGTTTGACTGTCTTGATGTTTATTTCTGTCTTAAGATCCTATTAGGAAGTTCATAAGTAGAGTGTAGAACAGTTTTCCCTTCAGTCTTTTTTTTTTAATTATTTTATCAAGATTTTTCACTTATGACCAAACATCAAAATGTTTTTTTTAAATTACTTTTTGTTTGATCGGAGAACTTTTCAGTAATCTCTTGTGTAATACACAAGGTTGATCAGAAAGTACAGACAAGGGACATTATTATTATTTATATATATTTTAGTTAACTTTTCTTGTTTATGGACAAGAGAACACATCTGGATTTAATAAATGTAAATATTGTTGAAACATGTTAGGTTTCGACTATTCTGAAAATAAAAATAAAAAACTGATGTTATTCATTTTTTAAATACTTTTCAACTTTGTATTATAGTAGTTGCTGTTTGGGAATTATCATTGATGATGTCACACACAAAGTGACAGTGAAATTCTTCACTTCATTGTTGTTAAATACATTTAAAATTCCAGTTACCAAGATCTCATTTACTTTTGGTTTTCTGAAGATTATAATAAACACTGCAAAATCTGAAGCCTTTTTTCCTTTTAATTGATGTTGAACAGTTTACATATATTGTTTACAAAGATTACTATATCCTTAATCCAACTGCTCTTTCAGCTTCCATGCTGCCTATATTTTAGTAATTAGGTTTTTATCTAAATGTACAGACACACACACATTATATATATACTCATTTTCAATAGCATTTTCGGATACAACAATACATATATTTTCGTTGTCCTCTTATTACTAAGAGAAAAAACAAGAACAACATCTATTCTATACCTGAAGATGTCTGTAGGAACAGACGAAAGCTTGTAGTAAAAATAAGAACTAATACGGCAGAAATTTATGGAAACAAGGATCAATTCATTCATAACGGATTTGGAGGTTTTGTATATTATTTGAATTGTTTTGCGATGATGGATTTCTCGCCAATTAAATCATTAACCTTTGCTTTTGTTTTTGTGTGAATAATTCATGAATTTGTAAATTGATTGCATGTTTATCATAATATATATATATATATATATATATATATATATATATATATATATATATATATATATATATATATACACTTTTAATTCTTCAAAACCAGCTAAAGTTTTTGCATATAAATGATTGTGGTAGACAATATTTTATACATAATTATGTATTATAAAAAATACAATTTAGTAAATAGAGGACATTTCATAAAATATGCACCATTAAACAGTTTTGTTGAGGTTACAAATAGCATATTATTTGAATATTGTGAAATATATTTAATAATAATATGTATAAAATATTAAATATATTTATTTTCTGGTGCTGTCAAGCTTTATGAAACAGTTCTAAATGTGATGTCACTTATATGATACATGCCTATTTAAATTTGAATTGTAATAAAAAAGAAAAAAGCCAAAATATTTTTCTATGATACTGACAAACACTATTTAGTTCACAATAATAACCAAAAGTGTCAAAATTAAAAGAATACAAAGAACAAAAACATGAACTTTAAACAGTTTATTTATAATTTTGATGCAAATGTGCAAAAACTTATTTGAAAATTGGAAAAATACAATAAGGATGTAAATAGTTCTTGTCAGTTGAATTTAATAAATGTTGAGCTTGTGTAACCAACATAAGGATTTAATATTTATTGGTATTGAACATGCAATCTCCTAAAGGATATGTGAATTCAAAATAACAGTGTTTTTACACAGAGACCTCAGCAATCCCTCTCTAATTATTTTATAATGATAAGGTTAGGTGTTTTACTAAATGATAAAACTAAAGTATTTATTGAGAGCATTAAGTGATATACACTAGTGGATTATATTTTCAATGGCATTTTCATCTTGTTTATTGGTTGGGTGCATCTAATTATGGTAGGATAGGTTGTTTTTTTTAATTTTGTTTACATCAGGAGATATATTAATAATATATATAATAATTGCCTTGAATAATTTATTTTTTAATAATCTTTATTTAAAATTTATTTTATACATGAAAGGATGTTGTAGATAGCTAATTTTAATACAGGTAGAAATAGAACATATTCTATAATGTCAATTCTATGAACATTAAAATATAGTCCATAAAAAATCTTTATGAACCAATACTTTAAATTATACTCACAGCCAAGTATTAATGCAGTAGAAACCGTAATAATGGTAGATGGAGCATCAACCATACTTAACCAGTTATTGGAGTCATTCAAATGATCCACAATATATTTAAATATGAAAGGAACCTGGACCAGCAACAACTGAAAAGAAATAATTTGAATCAAGTGACAAAGAGAAGGTTTTAAGATAAAATTATGATTTGTAGAACCATATGGTTTGGTTTTCTAATGTTTCTTTAAAAATATTTGAATTCTTTATCATGTCTTGATAATATGTTGTATTTATTGTATTATTGTATTCGGCAAATAAGACAAATTAACACTGAATTCCAGAGAATCCTCTCCTTTTCTATTGCACCTCTCTCTCTCTCTGTTCCATAAAAGTCATCATATGTAGTGTATGAAATATATATTCAAATGAAACAACTGTTATGAAACAGAGGTAATATTTTTCCAGATTATTTTTGCATTTCTAGGACTTTAAAGAGATTTTTCTTCTTTGATCTTTTTTGTAATTATTTTTTCAAAAATAAAAAAAATGATGATACCATTTTCACACCTTCTGTTCTTTTCAACATATATAAAGAAAAATATTAAAAATATCATTTTGTGCCAATTAATGTTACTAATCAACTATTGAGCTGTAATTCTTTTGCGTTGCACTTGCTGCAAAAGAACTTGAAAAGTGAAAAATGTCTTTTCAAGCAGAATACTGCATATTTTTTAATAAAGATTTTGGATTATAGTTAAAATCTTATATTTGTACACTACATTAAGTTTTAATCACTGTATGTTGTAAGTTTTACATAAAATTATTTTTAATCATTCAATCTTGCGTTAGAGTGAACTTTTTCTATTACAATTCCTATTAAAATTTATGAATTTAATTTTCAATTTAAAAAAAATCTGACAAATTTACAAACAGAGTTGGTATTTGTGGTCGAGGAAACAAAATTTCAAATGACCAACTTACCTTTGACCAAATCAGTAAACCAACTGCCACAACAACCCGGACTTTTATGCTGGGTTTACCTTTTGGCCAGACATACATACAAATAGCTTTGACAATATCCCAATTGCTCACTTCTTTTGTTTTCTCTAGATTGATGACATTGGCAGGAAGAGTTGAAGCACCAGGGTGGAAACATCCTCGCTTTCCAATAGTAACGGGAGTTTTCTGACAACAAAATATTTTTTTTTAAATATTTAATATTTTTAGAACCATTTTATGACTGTCATTAGGTTCTCAAAAATTATTTATTAACATTTCAAGGGAAAACACTATAAAAGAGTCTATTAGATCTTTACTGTTTGTATCAACTGATGAAGATCAATTTTCTATTAGTTTAAAATTATTGACAAGGAAGTGAATTGGAATCAGTAACAAAATTGTATTTTCTACAAATCAAAAATTACTTTTGTACTTTCTACAATGCAATTAAGTAATGTCCTATAAATAATAAAATAGGATCAAAACTTACCCTCTTGAAAAGCTTGTTAAAATGTACAAAAATTGAGGATTTTAGATCCTTGGGGATTCTGCTTGATTTACGAAACTATAAAGTAAAAAAAATATATGAATTATAAAAATAATAAAAAGGATAAAAAAAAGATAAATTTAACTATGTAACAATTTCATCTATGTGATTTGGTTGTCCTGAATAGAACAAAATTTTAGAATAATGTAGGAAATAGAGAGATTTATTTTAAATAAAGTACAAAAGTTATCAATCAAGATGTTTCACCTGATATTGTGCAAAAGTTTGACAAGTGTCAAATATTCATAACCCTTCCCATGACCGAGTCTATACACAAGGTCACAAACAACACCTAAACATGAAGAAGACTTAATATGAATTCAAAAACTTCCCAAATACAGTTAGTTTGGATTTGGAATAATGAATTCTGCTTTGCTGTTGCATATTTCAAATTGCATACTCTCCAACCTTTCTCAGTTATCTGAATGTCAAATCTTGCTTTGACAAAGAATATGCTTTCCCTCTAGGACCTCTTATATACATCACATTCAGTGGGATCCTAGAACATACATTCTAAGTATGTTATTATTATTTGTAGTATTATTACTAGGGAGTGCTGTAATATTTGCAGTCTAGCCCTTAAAACATCTGATGTATTAATCAGTACTTGGTTAAATTTTGAAAAATGGGTCAGATCGAGAACTTTTCAGTACCCCTTTGTATATTCATTTTTATGGGTGAAATATTGAATTCCACTTTTAGTGTATATGATCTATTCTGACCACTGAATAGACTAAGATTTCATTCACCTTGCAAACTGGAGAAACTTTTCTAAGGGGGGATAAGTGAGGTCATTTTAATAGAGGAGAGTCGGATAATTGCATAAATAACTATCATTACGAATACATCGCCCGAGCAAACACATTCAATTGCTTATTGTTTAAATATTTTCATAAATAATGGTAACTGGTTTTCGTAAAACGGGGTTTTCTGTTTCCAAAAGAATAGTCTTAAACTCAATTTTAGTAACTACCGCTGTCGTCATATATCCGAAACATTAGAAAAGAAAAATAAAAAAATTCACGTTATGAAGTGCATAATTTCTTTTTTTACTCGTGTGATTTCTATAGAAATTTTGTTTTTTTTCTAAAATATTGCGTTAGGATGTTATTTTATTTTCAATGTTAACTTTCACATCACACTAAAATTAACTTCATCATTTTATTATCAACAATTTAAAAATTAGAAATGCAAATTATACAACGGGGGATAGATGTTATTTTAATTAACATCAAAAGAAAATATTTTCTCAATTTATTAAAATTATCTTATAGTCATTTAAAATTTTATGTTTAAAAAAAAAAGAAGTTCGAAATGACCACAAGTGAAACAAAAAAAAAATTTAAACAGAAAATAGTTGAGATTTTCTTACCGGTACCCTTAGCCAAATTCGATTGTCAATATTTTTTAGACGGATTCCTCGTATAGGTGTGAATTTTATACATGACTGGGAATTCGTATATATGAATCTAGAAGAGATTTTCAAGTTAGTGTCCACAATTCGTAAAAACAACTTTGCTGATGCCATGTCTGCCTCTAAACTATTTTTCCTTATTTGTCTCCCCTGTTCAGCTTGCACATGTGACTGAAACAACTTTGTCAACTATTGATAACTAAGTAAACTAAAGTGTTATTTTAATTTTCCCTGAACCAACACTTAAAGCTAGCTTTGAACAAACGTGTTTAGTCCAACACAAATATAATCAAAACATGATAAAAAAATTGACCTTTTTTTACAAATAAATTTGTTTTTTTTTTATTATTTTCATTCAAACGTAGTTTTATGTAGAAAACAAATACAACTCCATGTAAAATCCAAACTGAAACAAAAGGAACGCCTGATGAAATTACAACATAATTATGTTTGTGCAAAAGGTACTTCAAAAGGAAAACTGAGTTATTTATAATAATAACCCAAAGCAAGTGTATTAGAATAAACAAAATCAAAACCATAGTAAGACAATAATTCAATTTTGCTCTACTTTGTATTGAACACTTTTTTAAAAAGTAAATGCTAAGAACTGTGGATTCTTACTCCATCTGTCCTTTCTTTTTATTTATGATATATATATATATATATATATATATATATATATATATATATATATATATATATATATATATATATATATATATTAAGTAAGCAAATATCACCTGCTCAAAAAACAGACAAAGAAATTGATATTGATAAGCAAATATGAATAGAAAAAATGGTTTTTCACTGAGAATTGTGTATGCAGACAATTCAGATATTCTTGACAAAGGAAAAAATACAATTATTTTGAATCCTTTGAAATTAAAAAATGAATATCTATGCCAGGCAAGAAGATCTAGTCATTGTAAACAAAGACAACAAAAATGTGTCACAGATATTGCTATCCTAGCACATTACAAGGTAAAATTAAAAGAAAGTGGAAAACTGAATAAATATATGGACTTTGCCAGAGAAATAAAAATAAAAAAAAATATGAAGATAATGATGGTATCTATAATTATAATTTTGAAAAGATCCAAGTTTACAGGAGCATAAAAAGATTGGAAGAACTGGAAATCTGAAGAAGAATTTAAACAATTCATAAAATAGCATTATTAAAATCAACAAGAATACTGAGAAAGGTGCTGGAATATTGAGAGAAGTTAATGTTACTTGATTGCCAGCAAGATCCTCCAGATACTACTAATGTGAAAATTCATACAACAATAATAATAATACTATGTTTGGTATAGTGGATAATATTATTACTGTTCTTAAGAATAGAATGAGTTACTGAAAGATTTGTTTGTATTCAAATAATGAATATCTTGGCAATGTGATGATAAAAGACATATTTTTCAAGGTGACTCAGTCTCACCCTAAAGAGATTTTTAGGGCAGTGTTAATGTGGAGTAAGCAGAAGTGAATGGTATCAAATCAAAGGAGCAAATGACAAAAATAAACACACTGCCTTTTATTGTAAAAAAAAGCCACTAGCTCCATGCTACAGCAGTCCATACCTTGTCCAACATAGGACGGACAAATATTTTACCATTTTGCACACCAGAAAAACAGAGAATATATCAATGGATAGGATCAAGCCAGCATATGTTGATATTGGAAATGTATCAGCTTCACAATCAACAATGTTATAACAATTACCACATTCAACTAATAGATCAGCCCAGAATAACTTGACAGTGGAAACAAGCCAGCAACATCATATTGCTAAGTCAGGAAGAAGAGTCACTTGGCCCAAACACTTTAAACAGTATATTACTTACTGACTTTCTCTCAATTATCAATCTGAGGAGGGAGTATTTGTAGAGTAAGTGGAAGTGAACAGTATCAAATCAAATGACAAAAATAAACACCCAATGCAAGAGTTCAACGCAGCCATCCAGGATTCAAACATACTTCAAATTTTTGATTTAATAAAAAAAAATAGGCAATAAAATCAAATCCTGCCAATAAATAAACACAGGCTTCTGGAGCCTACACAAGGCCATAAAAACCTAATATTCATTCAACTTGGCAGAAAGACGACAGCAGTAAAGAGACACAAATCAAACTCGTCATCCTGCCTTTCTCACCAAAGTAACTTGCAGACCCCCTTTGGTCTTGTCTCCCAATTCCACTTTCTCTCTTCCTCACTGAAAAACTATGTTCATTTCCTCACAGCCAAAAAGAAGAACTTTCTGACTTTCATTTCATGATAATTAAAGTTAAAATTTGTGTATCTTAAGTTTAAATAAATATCATCATTTTATTTGAACATGCAACAATCTTTTCTCTCACTTTTTTATTCAACAAACAGTGACCTATGGAATTTTTCCCCAACAAATGGTGATAATCTGATGGGAAACAAACACTGCACCCAAAAACTTGTAAACACAGCATTTTTCTGCTTCTAACAAGAGGTGCCTAGCTATATTCACAGACCACAAATTCAATTGACTTATCACGTAATGGAGAAGACTACAATCATGCAACTCATGGAAACCATGTTAACAATGAATCTTCCAACATTCACCTCCACTAATATAAATATAAGGTTCTTGCAACTACGTGCAATTTTCAACACAAAGAAAATTACATCTCAGCATCTATGATATTGCTATGTTGTTGAAAAACTACCCACTGAAGTAGCTGTAGAGAAGTAATGGACTTATTTCAAACTATGCCCTAAAACCATCCATATGACATTTTATGCCAAGCAATATTTAAATGGATGGTAAAATCTAAAGAAATCATGCTATGTGATTTATTTACCAACACAGAAGTTTGTGACAGAACACCTTCTCAAATACTATGCCACATGAGGTCGCTACTTAGAGACAATACCATGGCCAATTCTATTCTAAAAAGTATGTGGTTAGATAAATAACATACAACAAACACAAAATTTTGTGCCCATATCAGAAGACATAAACCTTGGGAAGTTAGCTGATGTTGCTGACAGAATTCATAACATAGAAAGCAACAGATTACTACAATTGGTCTCAGAAAACAAACAACACAGGGTTAACACAACTCAAGGAAGCTGTAGCAGAATTAACTAAACAAATGAAGATGATGCATCAACATTATAACAATAAATCCCATTCAAGGCAAAGACACAGATGACATAATAGCAGGTGCAGGCTTGGTTCAAGAGACATATACTGCTGGCACCTTAAGAAATTTGGCAGCAATGCTCAGAAATGCAATAAGTCATGTGAGTTTCAGGAAAACTGTTCATCCAGTCAATAAATTCAACTGCATTGACTGGACAAACATTATCAAAAAAAGGTTGCCTATTCTACATGAAAGACAGCTTCACTAAGATGAACTTCCTGATAGATACAGGCATGAAGGTTAGTGTCATACCAGCTACACCTTCACATAAATGAACAAACACTACCTCTGCACTAGCACTACAAGCCACAAATGGATTTTTTATTTTAACATATGGCGAAAGGACCCTCACGTTAACTATGTCTTCAGAGAGAATTCAAATGGACTTTCATAACAGCTGATGTGAAAACACCCATCATTGGTACAGATTTTTAACCAAGTTTAAAGTCTCTGTTAATATGTCCTTAATTGATGAGGAAACTAAACTGAAAACGCCAGGAATTCACACATCCCTTTCTACCACCGGGATAAGTACAGCTGTATTAAATAATGAATTTGCAACCACATTGAGATAATTCCTAGATTTAACACAACTATTAACACACTCAACCAGTAGCAAAACACAACATACAGACCACAGGACAACCTTTAAAATCAGACAAGTTAAAATTCACCAAACGAGAATTTCAGCATTTACTAGAGCAAAGAATCATTCAACCTTCTAAACGTTCTTGGACCTTACCTATACACTTGGTCCTAAGGATAAGTCAATATGGCAAATATATGGGAATTTTAGTCTGTTAAATGCAGTGACCTTAGCCAACCATTACCCCCTGCCCTTCCTAAGTGATTTCACTACATAGCTACATGGTTGCACTATTTTTTCCAAACTTGACTTAGTGCACACATATTGCCAAATACCAGCCACTGATGAGGATATTCACAAGCCTCTGGTAATCACTCTCATTGGACTGTTTGAATTCATTAAAATGTCATGGGTAATGCAATGCTGCTCAAACATTCCAGAGATTCATAGACAAGGTTTTAAGAGGTCTACCCTTCATTTCCACCTACATGGATGACTTATTAATAGCTAGCAAAGAAAAAGAAGAACATAACTAACATCTACAAGTGCTTAGTAGACTTATGAAGTATAAACTAAGGATCAACCTCATCAGAGTGCTTCATCAGAGTTAACAAATTAATTTTCTGAAACACACAATTTCAAAAGAAGGCATTACTCCAATTCAAGAAAAAATAGATACCATCACCAACTTACCAATACCAACTTCAGTCAAACAAGTAAAGAAATTTTTCAGTTTCATTAATTTTTACAGGAACCGCATACCTAAATGTTCACACATTCTCTCTCCACTTACAACTTTACTCAAAGGAAAAAACAAGAATATCTCTCTAAATGCAGAACAACTTCAAGCTATAGAGAGTGCCACGCACACTATAATCAATTTCACCAAACTATAATTTTTATGGACTGATGACACTGTCAAGCTGACCCTTACTATAGATGCATCAGCAGTTGCAGCTGAAGCAGTGCTGCAACAGGTTAGTAAATATATTTCTCAACCCATTTATTTCTATTCAGCAAAATTAACTCCTGCTCAGAGAAAACTACAGTACCTTTTCTCGCTGACTTTAAACTTGCTATCAAGAATTATCAACACATATAAGAAGATTTATAGAGATTTAACAGATCACAAGTCATTAATATACTCATTACATTCAGCAACAAACAAATATTCTCCTAGAGCAGGCATGTCAAACTCAGAGCATATGGAGGGTCACATCAGCCATATTTGCAGACTCAAGGGCCACACATGTTTACAGTCTTACATTAATCACAGCTAGTGGTAACTAAACTTCAAATACAAAATACTTACAATACAAGGTAATATAATTAAATCATTTTTATGTTGTCC